AGTTCAAACACATTTACACAGTACATATAACAATTCCAACAGTAAATGTTACATCTGTGTTTACTTTATATGGGCTTGAATTGTGTTTTTATTAAGTCACTTAATTGATTTTACAACATAGTTAGATCATGCAAAACGTGGATTAAAGGGTGCTTATATTGAGGATATTTCCTACGAAATAGCTAGGTGGCTCTAGTAGCTGAAGAATGTGTTAAAATATTCAGCCAGTTACCCATGAGATCCTAAATTCAAGTCTCGAGTGGGTGAAATATATAAAAATGGCATGACCTTTTGATCTCAGAGACTTCTCATGCACAGTGAGTTTTATTATATCCACCCACTCACAAAGGCCTAACTGGGTGGCACCGTGTTGGAGCCCTTGACCTGCACTTGGAAGGGCACATTTTCAAATCTCGGTCAAAGGCCAAGAAATCCCATCATCTTCTTGGTTCTTTCGGTAAAGTCACGTAGAAGGGAAGTAATAAAATAATAAAAATAAAACATAATAAAATAATATGTTTTATGTTTTATTTTTATTATTTTATTACTTCCCTTTTACGTGACTTTACCGAAAGAACCAAGAAGATGAATCCCTGCAGTCACGAAAGCTTTAAATCGAAATCACATCATCTTTACATGGTCACTAAAATAAATATCACTTTGTTGGAAGTCAGCAACTGCTCTTATATGGAAAGACTCACTGCCATGGGAATGTGCAATGTTCACCACTAGCTCAGGACTGCCAACAGAGATGAGCATCATGCCGTGCTTGTTTCGGCACGGAGACACTATGACTTTTGAAATGGATAGTGGAATGTGGCCTCATGTTATGAATAATGTCTGAGTGATTACAATCACTTCATGCTTCAGCAACTGGCTTCTTTGGTGATCACTAGGCCACAAACTTCAGACCAAACAGCAGATAAATATAATCAGTGCTGTCGCACACGGGGACTCATTTCGAGCCAGAAAGTTAATATTTTTTCTGATAAGGAGTTTCAATAAATTACAAGAAAAAATCTGTATTTGTGCGCCCAACATATTGACGTAATAAATAAGCGACTCAATGAATGGAAGATAAGCGTGCGTTTGCTTGTGAATGCGTGTGACTGAGGCAAGATGGTGCAATCTTTAGTACAATGCACTACGAACCTGATTACCTGGGTTCAATACCCATCTATGAATATGACTAGTAGCATGTAGTATCTGAATCTGTCCTGGACTTTCCCTAAGTTCATTCAGCCTTGAACAAATAGAGTAACACCCTTATTTACGCCCTGCCGCTTTATTAATTTTCGCCATAACGTGCTCAAATTATTGATACCAAATCCCATTTAACGTACTATGTACCTCGCCATCACGTACTCGAGATTTACAAACTTTGCCACTCAGCCCTAATTTTTTAACGTTTCACGGAGAACATTCAGATGCCAGATAGTGCCCAAGCGTTTGCGTCCCTCACTAGCTATAGTCTCTTTCATGTGTACTCTTAATATTTTTTCCCCAAATACTGTATTTATGGTAACTATTTTTTTTCAAGTATAAACTATTTGTAGATCATAAACTAATAATAATACCTACAGTATAATAGACAAGGTCATATATCTTAATATATCAAGAACATACACTTATTTGTTTAAACCGATGGTTGAACAGTATACATGCGCAATGGGTGACTGAGCATCCCTCTGTTTAGGTTCTGTACCACATTATGGATCCACCAAAAATGCTTCGATTTAAGAACTTTCGATTTATGTTGTGGTTTTCTGAAACACATCCTGGCTATAAACCTGTACATGGTAGATTTTTTAAAATCAGCACTGAGGAAACAAAGTTGTGGTCGTGGACACCCCTCTATAGCTGCCCTTAATAGGTGCTCACTCAGAGAGCACTTGCCCCAGCAGTCCACAGAAAGTTTGTTGTGAGTAAACTGTATTCGGGAGAAAATGCTTCGACAGTATTTTAGACTAACTTGGCAGACCCTTGTCTTTATGTGTGTGCTTGGGGACGCATAACAAATACAAATAAATAAATAATCACATGTTTTGGTTAAACAACCTAAAAATACTCTGTTAAATGCAATTCCCTTATAAGTACATCTATTTTTAGATAATTTCACAACTCTTTCCTTTAGGATGCAAGCAGTTTCTCACCAACACGAGACTGAACATGCAGATCTAAACGGGATAAGTTATGTATTTATAGTCAATACTCCCATTTGAAAGTTGAACACGACTTGGAGGTCTCTACAGATTTTGGCAAAAAAAAATACACAACAGAATGGCCGAATTACAATGCAAGACCGCATGTTAACAGTTTATCAATCTGTTTATACAGTACTCTCCCTGTGTTAAAGTTTTCAAAGTCCAGTATAGGAGTCGTCAGGCTACGTGGAAGGTTGAATGCAGCATGGTGACCAGATGCACACGCAGACTACATTGCACAAGCAAGCTACATTGCACAAGCAGGCTACATTGCACGAGCAGGCTATATTGTGAGGCCCCTCAGACGGGCTCAGGCAGGTGTAGACAAGAAAGACATCCAAACCTCTGCACTTATACCGTGGGAAGCTGCTCAAAGCACATACACGGGCAATGCACACCTGCCGTTGTGTCCACCTGTCACCAACACATTTGGCAATGCTTCCATACATTACATGGAATTGTACCTTACAGACTTTTATCATTTTTAAACGTGAGTAAACATCTATTTTGTGTGTACTTTAAATAAATAAAAAACTGGAAAATATTCTTTGCCTACAAGTGGTGCAGGACCAGCTTTAGTTTTAAAATATACATTATTATATCTTGACTTAAAGCTTTCGTGACTGCAGGAATTCATATTCTTTGGGTGTTTCGGTAAAGCCACATAGATATAAAAAATTAAAAAATATCACGACGTTTCGATCGCAACGCAAGCAATCGTCATCAAGTGAAAAAAATTGCGAGAGAGCTGCTGAGGCAGGTTGTTATAAAGCAGCGGTCGAGAACCTATGGCTCGCGAGCCATATATGGCTCTTCCGGTGACGGCATATGGCTCCCAGATAATTTTGAGTTGAAAAAAATTAAATTAAAAATCAGTTTGGAACTGATTTTAAAATACTTGTGATATTGCTTAATAATACTGTGTCATTTTAAAGTAAACAGAAATTAGTTTTGAAGATAAATGTCACGGGTCACGGGGCCTCAACGCCTGCATGAAGCTCAACCTCAACACGTACGAACCAGACTACAAGGCCATCAGCAAAACCATGCAGCACCAGAAGTCGCATTAAAAGTAAGACATATTTAATTTATTATACGTTAAAAATACTATATGGCTCTCAATGCAATATATTTAGAAATATTTGGCTTTTATGGCTCTCCCAGTCAAAAAGGTTCCCAACCCCTGTTATAAAGGTTTCAGATGGGTGTAGCCCAAGGGTCATAAGTCAAGTGGGCGGGGCTAGTGATGACATTTGCATGTAAATGTAAGATCGCAGAGATCTGGGCTGAGGTATTGGTCCTACCGTGTTTCATATCTGAAACACGGTAGGACCAATACCTCAGCCAGAACCGGCCCTAGACCTTTGGGGGCCCTAAGCAAAATTTTATTTGGAGGCCCCTTTGATGTATGATTTTTTTCACCCACTAGCTAGCAGTGACTCTAGGGGGCCCTCTGCTGGCCACGGGGCCCTTTGCAATTGCAAGCGTCGCTTAGTGGCTGGGCCGGCTCTGACCTCAGCCGTGACTGATCATTGTTCTAATGCTGTGGGCATACACGAAATAGATTTTTCCAAGATGAAGGTACTCTGCAAACCCACTGGCTATCAACAAAGATTCGTTCATGAAGCCATCCAGATCTATAAACACAGACACAATTTCAACTGAGAAGATGGGTACAAACTGAGCAATCATTGGAAGGACGTTATTAATCAGGTTAAGTCATAACTGGCTGTGATGTTTAGTAGTTATTTTAGACTCTCTGGTGTTACATTAACAGGTTAAATGCCTTTGCATTAACAGGTTAAATGCTTCACTAACATATTTGTTCGTTTTCCTTGATGTGGCGGTGGCTCTCCAATCTTACATTGACATGCAAATGTCATCACTAGCCCCACCCACTACGCTTATGACCCTTGGGCTACACCCATCTCAAACCTTTATAACAGCGGTCGGGAACATATGGCTCGCGAGCCATATATGGCTCTTCCGGTGACGGCATATGGCTCCCAGACAATTTTGAGTTGAAAAAAATAATAATAAATAATGAAATCAGTTTGGAACTGATTTTAAAATACTTGTGATATTGCTTAATAATACTGTGCCTTTTTAAAGTAAACAGAAATTAGTTTTGAAGATAAATTTCACGGGTCACGGGTCCGTGACCAGAAGTCGCATTAAAAGTAAGACATATTTAATTTATTATACGTTAAAAATACTACAGTAAAACCTTGGATTGCGAGCATAATTCGTTCCGGAAACGTGCTTGTAATCCAAAGCACTCGTATATCAAGGCACTCGTATATCAGTTGTGATCACGTGACGCTCAGCAGACAAAGCATATACACGTACTACTCGTATTGCAAGACCTCGCTCGTTGATCAAATTCAGATTTATTTATTTTTAAATTGCTCGTCTTGCAAAACACTCGCAGACAAAGTTACTCGTAATCCAAGGTTTTACTGTATATGGCTCTCAATGAAAGATATTTAGAAATATTTGGCTTTTATAGCTCTCCCAGTCAAAAAGGTTCCCGACCCCTGCTTTGTAACACCCTGCCTCAGCAGCTCTCTCGCTATTTTTTCACCTGATGACAATTACTTGCAGTGCGATCGAAACGTCGTGATATTTTTATTATTTTTTCTATCTATGTGGCTTTACCGAAAGACCCAAAGAATATACATCATGTTCGTGTATACAACCCATAGATACAAATACAGAAATATCTGTTTCCACAAATAATTAACATTACAGGGTGAAAGCAAAAATAAGCAGACAAAAAAAACACACACAACTCACATTCAGTGTATGTTTGGAGCTGGGAGAACTCGGCAGGGCTCAGCGTTGTCCATTTATCTTGACTCATCTTGCTATCTCCTTTCAACACTGTCCACATAAATTGAAGGTGGCGTGATTACACTGCACATACAATGTCCATCGTGTCGTCAAGAAGCTATGCTCAGGAGCAGCCCGCCGATAGCGCCACTCAATGCAGACTTGACTTGAAAACCCCCACGGTTCTTCGTGAACCGCTCCCTTTCACCGAAGAAACCACAACCACCCCCGGTGAGCAGAGGGGATATTGACGTCGATTCAATGCTTTCGCCGCAAGGAACCCTCCACCGACGATTTTCTGTCCAGAAACTCCCTTCCTCTGGTCATCCACGCACCGAATGCAGACTCTAAAGAGACAAGAGGGGGAAGGAGGGAGGTACGGGGTGGGTGGGGGCGTTGGGTTTGAGGAAGAGGGAGAGATACGTAATGACATAGCAATGAAAAAAAGGGAATGAATTACTAATGAAGGCTGCTCACAACAATATGCAGCAGAGGAGGAGCCACTGGGATCCCCCCCCCCACCCATCCAGAAATACCGCTGGGGTTTATTTACAGAAAATATGATCAGTAAAATAAATCAATTGAATTACATCGACATTGTAAATATATTTCACACCGTGCTTAGGTCAATACACCTTTGTTACAGATGATACATTAGCCTTCCTTTTTAAACCCTATTTTTAAATCTATGCGACATATATCCAATGCTTATTCCATATCGTATAACCATCGGTCTTCACGTACTGTGTATGCGATGTGTGGCTTGGACATGTGCTTACATATGCAGCGTAATTATATATAGATATACAACCAACATAAACACTGATAAGAGATGGTAAAGGAGTTTGACACGAACAATCCCAACGCAATAATTTAGTGTCTTAAATTGACGAGGCCAGACTCATCACGAATCGTCAGCACATCATCCCTTGAGGGATCAATAAACAAAATACTAAACAGTGGTTGTCACGTACTATCAAATAATATAAACCGCTGGCTCAGTGCAGATATTACCGAGGTAAGTACTACCACGTGTTTGTTGACACACAAGGGGAAACCGCGTTGATTGTAAATAAGAAAATAAACACACGCCAATTATGGATACCTTAATCAATCTGTCGAGTAACAAAGTAAGGATGGCGAGGTTCAGGTGCTTCACAACACAAGCTGTACAATAGGAGGAGGAGGAGGGCTTTTATTGGCTGTTTGCTCACAAATGAAGCTTGATGGCGCGAAGGGGCAAGTGTTGTCTAAACATTACATGCTTAAAATAACCGGGGCTCCTCTGCCAAGCACGGCTCGTGTGTCGCTAAAATATTTACAAAGTGCAACATTTCCATGGCCATTGCTTACAACTGCAGGTGATACAGACAAATATGTTTTGGTATATTTGGTATATGCTTATACTTCAACATTCTTCTCCATCAGACAAACGTTCCATATGGTTGATGCATTATGAAGGTATACAATACCACCAATACGGTTCTAAATTAAATCCAAAGTCAGTTATTGTACCTCTGGTACAAAAATATAAAAAAATGGCAGTCCACATACAGCAAGTTCAATAACCACATTCCTGCCACTTGATTAAAACGCCAATGATAACATGAAGTATGAAATAATGATAAACATTTTAAGTCAAGTTCTGTGAACCCCCGAGGTGTCAGATAATACTCACTCATCGCATCGTGTTGAAGCAGGGCATAGTTATGTTATAATTAAATATATGGCTTCACTCACTGCTCTAAATGAACAATTTTCTGTCTGAACATGCAGCTGCAACTCTTAAAGCTCTAACATGCATAAACTGGGTGCTGACCATATCACTGACAGCCCAGAAGAGTCAGTTTATTGTACTGGAGTCTAATAGGTCATCATTTACTCTTGAAATTATAATATACTAGCTTTACTACCCGGCTTCGCCCGGGACTTGGATTCACCATGGCCCGGCCGCCTTTGTCTCCCCAGTGGCGATGTTCACACACTACACCAGTTACTCGTTTGAGGCCGAGCCGACCTAGGGGAGGCCCAGGACCGGTTCAAATAATCGTTACCGGTGGTGGCCGTGAGCGGGATTCGAACTCGGGTCGCCGGGTTCGTAGCGCAGCGCGCTAACCGCTACACTACAATGAGTTACGCTTGCACGTGCGCGGGTGACATGACAGATGTGACGTCACAGCTCACTTGGCGTGCAAAAAATATATGCATTATTGCGCCCCCCCCCCCCCCCAAAAAAAATACCAAAGTCTATTTTTATAATTTTTACATGGTGTCCAGTCTGAAAAGTACCCACATGGCAAATGTCAAGTTTGTTGCATTTCAGGAAGTACGCTAAACATTTTGAAAGGACACACATATTCACAAATTTCCCTTTTATATAGATATAATACATACAAATACATAAAATAAGGGGACAGTCAAATATCTCACCAGCCTTCTATAAAAAATGTAAATGTCCCCTTGGAAGGATCTGTTGGGACCTGTTTGTATTCTGCTACGCTAACGCTGCACTAATATACCATCCACATCACAGAGATGCTCCACTTCAAGGTGTTCATCCCCTCTTTCCAGCCTCAAGTCTCTGCTGCGCTCTAGGTAAGTCAATCATAAGGCAATCACTGTTCACTTCACAGAACGTGGTAATAATTGTATCAAAATGGGATGAAGTTCATTATTGACTAATCTAACTACTATACCACCACAGCAGATACTGACATGAACAAATAATGGTAACACACAAAACTCGACTATCCACAGTGATATGAGGGACCAAGATCGTGGATCCTATTTTCCACGAGAATATCTGCAAATTTACTCCTCTAACCATGGAGTAGAAAATTGTAGAAAAACCCTGCGCATAATATGAATAATTGCATCCCTATCGTTCGCTGTGCATTATGGGTAACATTTCTCGGGCTGCAGGTAAGATGAGTTCTGTTAAAATATATATTTCAGAAGAGTTAAAAAAAAAACATTTCACAGCTTTGTCCATCTAATGCTGGATGAAAGCATTCCCACACTGTCAGCCATGCTGGTCAGTGCAGTAATTGAAAGGGGCAGCATAGGACCTGTTCAGATATCACTCATGCTAGTAATCGAAATAAGGTCACTGGGATAACAGCACAGAGCATTAACTATTGTTTCACTACTCTACCACGATTTATGTTATTATCTCAGTGTCAGGTGGAGGAGCGTCTTAACATTATAACTTTGGTCAGATCACAGATCATTGTGTGGCCCAACCCAATAATTTATCTTGAATCGATTGATGATTTAATTGAATTGTAACATTCCATCGAATTGCAAGGCAAGGAGGCGGGATGGGAAATCACTACGGCATACTGACTACAGGAAACTGCAAAGGAAGCAATTCCTCATTTCCAATTTGCTGATATATAAATGTCCAGATTGGGTACTGTGGAGGTTCCCAATGTGCATAGGACATTTGAGTGGGGACTTAATCATAGAGGCTTGAGAATGAGATGAGGCCATTCAATGCATCAGGCACTGTGTTCTGCAGATCAAAACATGGATGGGTATGGATAACAATCATTCAAATAGTGTCCAGACCAGTGGTGAGAAAACTGATATTTACGAAAATCTAAGAAAACGGTAAATTATATTTACTGCTCAGCACATTTTACGACACCACATTTAACGCAGCTCTATGCATCGACTCAATCAGAAGGTACGGATGGCACAGTTTTTAATGCAGCACACTTTGAAACATTATTTCGATTGTATGAAACCTCACGAGAATCTTCAACGTATGCATAACATGTTTTAAATTCATTCTATTCTATAAGATGTAATGATCTGTGTCGCATTTTATGCGTAGGTATTAAAATGTAGCAAATTATTTGGGCGGTGCTGCGTTGGCAGTGGTGCACAAGCACAAATAACAAAAAAACTCAGCACGTTTGTTAATAAAAAATATATAAAAGGTATATAAAATATTGGATTCAAATGGAGGATCATCCTTTTTCAAAAGCTTTACCAAAAACAATGATGAAAAGGCGGGTGGTGTGACATAATTCCCATACCTGTACCACATGTTTCGGCTCAAGAGAAACGTATGCTAAATGAGGTAAGTGCGTGTGTGGATGGTTTGAAACACGAGCGGAGAACATAGACAACGGTTAACCTTATTTGACAGGCTTTGGAATAAACGTGTTCATTTAATTACACGTAGCATTTCAACAGGAAATACGTTTTACATACTTATGGACAAGGCCACTGAAACGGGAGCAAAAGGGAAGATTGGTCCTGGGCCACATACAATAGAGGGCTCCACAACTACCTTGTGTTTTATTGTTCTGGCCGACCAGACCTGAACCTCTGGACTCAGCCTTCCAGGAATCTGTGGCCAGCCCTGCTTATGAAAATAAACCTGGAGACCACTTTTCAGGGACAAGGTCCAGTATGCATATTGTTAATGTTTAAAATAATACAATGATCACATGAGGAAGTAATACGTGTGCTGCAAATAAATGAACACGATTATAGCAGCATATAACAAAATATGAAAAGGTGTTTGATTACTTCAGGTTAAACATTACCAGTGGCGGCTCCTGCAAAATCTCTCAGGGGGGGCAAATGTCTCGATGATTGATAAGGTCCACCCATGCAATGGATAAATTAACAGCTTAAGCATGTAAAGGCAACTTCACTTCTTTAATATTAATGAAAAATAAAGTGACTCTTACAATACATCTTGTTTGTTTCTATACTCACTATTACTACAATCCACTCAGTTTATTTTATTAAAGATTCCACTAGGTGGCGACAAATAATATTGTTGGATGAAACGTGCTTACGTATGATGACGTAAGCACGTTAGTGCAAGCCCTCCCGGAAGCCATAGAGAATGCATTGCAGCGCCCGCCGTTCGAAAAAAAACATCTTTGAATGTAAGTCTATGGGAACACTCTGGGCGATTCTCAGCCGGAGTGAAATCGCCCAAAAAGAGGCGGTACTCCACAGAACGTGACATGACGCTGATTGGACTATATCCAGAGGCACAGTAACGGCTCGCGAAACTCTGTGGTTGA